CCCCCCCCCCCCCCCGGAAGTGCGACTCAGGGTCTCACCTCATGAACGCGCAAGATTTGATCTGACAGTGTGTTAGATGAAGAATGAACGCAAATCAAGAGCATTTTCAAAGAACCTGCTTATCCCGAAATGTTTATCGGGGAAAACTTTCAGGAAAAGCATCTAGCTTAATAGGTTCAGGAGGCTTAGAAGAAAGCATTACTCACCCTTCTACCTTTTCAAGGAGATGTGATATCTGAGCTCGTGAAAAAAAGTTTACAGCATGCAATGAGGCGGACTTACAACACTGCTCGATTGTCGTGTGTTGACAGACTCACCCATCAGCTGAACCAGCCACAAGTTACACTTATATGGTTATTTACTTAATAAGGTGCATTTGTAAGGCAACTTATATTGGCAATGGTGCGAAGCGACAATCCCAACGCATGAACGAACACTGCCCACGCTGATTAAAACAAGGAGGAACAGGGAGCTTAGGAAGCGCAATTATTGATCATGTAGTGAATATATACCACCAAAGTAGAAGAGAATCCGCTTTCAGTGCAATTGATCGTGTGCCCCCAACGTCTGTAACGCAGTGCGCTTACACACACTAACAACCGCTTCAGGCAACCGGGAAGTAACATGCACACACAACCTATCAACACATTCTTCAGATTTATTTTTGTTCATATGTTGTGGCACATTTACTCGTTTTCTGTAACTAATTACGTGTTGAATAAAAAAAGTTGAATAAAACCACCACTGAGTCGATAGACATTCGCCTTTTAGTGCCAGAACTATGCGCACAAACGCGATCGGTACAAGATGTCCACTTACTCTGGCACCAAATTAATCGCCAACTCTACCACCCTCAACAAATAAACATACATTGATGACGGTGATTACGATTGCGAAATGAGGGGATTTGGAGTTCTAACGGTGCCATCGCGAATGGATGTATGGTCTAGGTTGTGGTTCAGGAAATTCTTCACAATTCTGTCTACGTCCGAGAAGCAAAACGTTTTACAGTAAATAAGAT